TTACCCGGTGGTAAACCTAAAAAGACTCATGGGTTTATATTGTTTGGGTGGATGCTAGGAAAAAATGTTACTCCCCCGTCCTTAAATAAGCTTCCAATTTTCATTTTTCGTCCGTCCCAATTAAAACTTCCACTTTCCCTTTTTGATAAAGAATTTGTGATTCACAACATTTCTTATACATTTCTCTCTCCTCTGCACAACTCTTCACCCCACAATACCCATTATCTTAAACTGTGTACCCAATCCATTTGGAAGTTTTATTAGGGACGAAGGTAGTAATTTTATTTGAGAGAATAGTTTGGGATTTTGGGTTTATATTTGACGCACGAACTGATGAGTAATGGGTTGATCAATAGACATTAGGCATGACTCCGCCTATAGAAAGAGATAGCCTGGCCCAGAGTAGAAGCTAAGGGTCAGGTCTAAGTCCATTAGGATATGGGGAATTCTATTTGCAGCCTCACATTTACTATTCACAGCCACAACATATTAAACGTAAATAGTTATATTTTTTAGATTCCAATTTTAGCCTTCCATCTAAATCAACTCGATCATACACACAGCCTCCGTTCCACTCATCCTCTCGCCTTCAAACTACCTGAAGCTCCTTGAATTGGAGATGATGTTGCGTAGATCTATCAAAAGTGAATGAAGATCCTACTGTCCCTCCTTCTACTGCTTCTTCTTCGACTACCTGGCTCCATCCCCATAGACTTGGTCATATTCCGAAATTCGAACTAGAACATAGGAAGGGTAGAAGGGATTCCGGTTATTTTCCGGCAAGATAATTGTTCCTATCGAAGAATCAGGCCGGTCAGCTTTACTCTTAAATCATTTTGTTGAGCTTTTTGATTTATTGATTTTGTTCGGAACCACTGTAGTTGTTTACCCAGGAGCGGCGCAGTTGAATTCTCTCATTTGAAATTGATTCCCTGTATCCTTTTCGTTCATCTTTGAAAATTTGGAGTAATTTTTTTCCTCTTCCTTTCAAGTTTATTTCAATGGAGTTCTTCTGTGTTGGTGGATTGAATGGAGTTTCTCTGTTTGTGTAATCGATGTATGGGGCTGAATGAATTGGGTTTGGCTGACTCCGTAACTCCCAGTGAGTTATTTTTCTACATAAGGGTAATTTGGATAAATTAATTTATTTATTTTATTAATATTTAATTTAGTGGCTGTGATTAGCAATTTGGGGCTGTGAATAGAATTACCCAGGATATTAGTGCGGTGAGCTTAGAGGTATCAAGTACGGAGTATATATTTGAAACTTTGTCCAGACTCCAGAGTCCATACCATAGAGTTGACACACCATCTTGACAAATTATATGGTACATCCATTTTTATCGTGCACGCGCATGCGGTACAACCAGAATTTTATGTTAGATGAATATATCTTTTAAAAGGAATGAGTATTGGTATTAAATTATAAATGAGTAAAGGGTCAGTTTGGTCCTCGAAGTTGCAAAAAAGGGGTCAAATAAGTCCTTATATAGAAGATTTTGTCCGGACGTGCCATTTGAGGTGGCTCCCGGTAGAATTTTTTGATAAAATTTTTTTTAGCATTTTATTCATTAAGTCTAGTTTACTCATACTAAATTTCAGCTAAAAATTCAATCGGGAAGACATTCAAATGAATTCTTGAAGATAACTGCGCTTTTAACGGCACAGTTATCTTCAAGAATTCATTTGAATGTCTTCGCGATTGAATTTTTATCTGAAATTTGGTATGGGTAAACTAGACTTAATGAATAAGATGCTCAAAAAATTTAATCAAAAAATTCCACCGGGAGCCACCTCAAATGACATGTCCGGACAAAATCTTCTATATAAGGACTTATTTGACCCCCTTTTTGCAACTTCGAGGACCAAACTGACCCTTATCTCAATTATAAATTAGTAAAATAAATATTTTGATGATATTATAGTTAATATTTAAGTTGCTTCTAATACTCAATTATGCTACCCATATAATGATTTAATTAATATTAATACTCATTTCGTTCGAACGTTATACTCATTAAACATAACATAAAATACTCGATTGTACGATGAGTATCGTGCAACCGGGTGTACAGTGCACGCGCGCTCACCATACTTGTCCAACTTTGACCTAGCCCATTTAAGGTTATCCATCTAGCCGTCTTACTATATACATTTTTAAATTAGTTATAAGAGATTTTTCCTAAAATATTATTAATAAAAAATTCATCGTAAAAAAGTGTCTTAGTAACTTTGAACACAATCATAGACTCATAGTCACTAAATATTATCAAATCACATTTTTGTTTATCATTTTTTCAAGAGTAGTATTACTGAATTTTTCTAGTTTATAATACATCTGCTTTAATACTAACAAAGTAAAAATATTGAAGAGACACATATGACTCCTTTATGGAGCCATATTGACCCTGTTAAATTATTATTATGTGGTGGTAAGCCACAATAGCGGTAGTATGTATTTTCTTAGAGCATCTCCATTCATACTCTTCAAATATACGTAGTATGATTTTTTTTCTTTTATAATTGTCATGTCATTGTCACATAAAGATCTTAACTAATGTCGAAGTTTATCGACTCACTCTCAACCATGATTTTTATTTACTCGATTTTTTATGAATCTTTTTTGCTATTTCTTCCAATGAGGTATTTTAATCATTCCAATTAATAGACATCTCTGCATTAAATGTATTTATTGAAATTGCTGAGAATAATCTTGAATAATCTAGGATGTAATAATTGATACCATATTTTTTTCTAAATAATCTTTAAAAATAATCTCATGTCTTCAACCATAATCTCATCTTTTACAACGGCCTAGTTTGACCTGCTTGCTTGGTCTTTGCTACGTGATCTAGCCCAAAGAAGCAATTTACCTAGGATGGTGATTAGTGATTTCAATGATATTCTTTATGAGTCTGAGAAAGGGATGGATTCCTCACCCTCTTTGGTGCTTGAGAAGTTTTTGAGATGCAGATGAAGAAAGTGGTTTACAATATTTATATTTTCCGACTACCAGTGGACTTGGGACAGGAAGGAAGTGCCAATTCAAGTAAACCGCCGCTTGTCATCGTTGGTTCGTCTTCTTTTGCAACAACTAACCACCTAATCGGGTTTTGAATATCAACGTACCGCTCACCAATTTAGCTTATTCGTCATTTGACTCTCATCGATCGTTGCCACTGGACTCTCACAGCACGCGACCGCAGCTTCATCTTCTTTGTCACAACAAATTGCTACTGGATCTGGTCTTGGAGCTCGACGCCACCCACCAAATAGTGACCCTCTCTCAGCAACAACTCACTGTTGGAGGCTTGTCGTCGCAGAATTCTTAGCATAGCCATTGCTCGCCCATCTGCGGTCGCCGCCGCTGGACTACTTATGCCGCAGTCGCTGCTCGCCCATATACGGTCGCTGCCAACCTCAACTTTAGTGACCGGTGGTCATCACTAATAGTTATTTTGGGCTTATTCTGGCCCAGTTGTATTTTGGATATTTTATTCTGTATATATTCATCTGTCAGGGCTCCTTTGAGGGCAACCTGTTCCATTATTCCACATGGTATCAAGAGCTTAGGTTTATAATTTTTTTTTCGGCCATGTCTTCGGTCGATACTTCCTCACCGCAACACATCGGCGCATCATCATCAACCGATGCTCTCTTCTCCTCCGTCTCTGCTGCAGCAGCCACAACAAGTCTTTCCATCGGCGCCATCTCCTCCACGATGACGCAGCCGGCTATTTCATCTGTGGTGCCTCAAATTTCAGAGCAATTCTCCTCTCCTTGCACTTCGACGAGCACCTGCAGCCTTTTCAACGATTTGCCACCTAATTCCCGTGGCAGATCACTCCGGTTCAGCCTCCTCGAGTTCCGTGGCAGCAGGCCCCATTCCAATCCTCTCCAGCGCAGGTGCAAACTCCTCAATTTCCATGGCAGGTAGTTCCAGTTCAGACGCTTGCGGCTCCAACATCAGCCCAGCCTGCGCAGACCCAATTTCCAGCATCCAACACGGCTCCATGGCAGATTGCTCCGCCTTTCCAACCTCCAGGTCCGGTGTTCTCTTCTGCCCAGGTTCAGTTCGCAGCACAGAGTCCGACTCCCTGGCAAATTGCTCCACCGCAGCAACCCTCCGGTCTGATGCAACCATCTGGGAGCAGTGCAACGTTCTTCGTCCCTACATTCAGTGGCTCCCCAAGCATCATTCGTCCCACTGATTCCTCAATTTTCGGGTCTCCTATGGCAGCCATGGCACAATCAGTATCCCACATTACAACGGTTGCTCAAATTGTTACTATAAAGCCAAAGGCCGTTGAAGATTATCTCACCTGGCGCACCCAACTCGAGTCTTTCTTGGTGTCTCAGGGTCTCTTTGGCATGCTTGATGGTTCTATTCAGGTACCTTCACTTTCTACTACTGATTGTACTAGTCGGCAAGTCAGTAATCCTGAATATTATTACTGGTTGCGTGTGGATCAAACCATTCGTTCCTGGTTGTTTGCGACTCTGACTAGGGATGTCTTAGTTGATGTTCATCATCTTAAGCATTCCCGAGAAATTTGGGAGCGCTTACAAAGTAGGTTTATGTCTGCTAGTTTACCCCGTGCCATGGAGCTTCGTCGTTTATTATCTCACAATAAAAAGAAAGAATCACAATCCATGGAACATTATTTGAGGGATATTAAAGTTATGGCTGAAGCTCTTGCTGCAATTAATTCTCCTATCACGGATAAGGAGTTACTTGAGTATGTTATCTCGGGTTTGGGACCTGAATATGAGTCTTTGGTGGGTACTATTACTTTATTTCCGGATAGTTTTCCGTTTCATATCTTGGAACCCCGCCTATTAGAGCAAGAACAGCGTGTTTTGTACAACCGGCAGCAGGCTGCCACCATTCACCAGGCCTTTGGGGCAGTCCCAGCCGTTGGTCAGCAACCTCCAGCGTACGCACCGCGCGGCAGAGGGGGCCGAGGTCGCGGTGGCCGCGGCAGGGGGGGGGGGTCGTGGGAGAGGTCGATTCAACAACGGCCAGCATTACCAGCAGGCTGGTCCGGCAGCACCTCACGGCCAGCAGCAGCCTCAGGTTGGTCAGCCACCTATCCAGCTCGGCCAGCATCCACCTCAGTTCGGTCAGCAGCCGGCTTTTGCTCCAGGGGGTGCGGTCCCTCCACGATCGGGCACTTCAGGTACTGCTAGTAATTCTGTTGTAACAACTTTAAATATTAATCCCTTCTATACGTTTGGTACTAACTCTGGAAATGCAGGCTTTCCATCTGCTGAGGGAGTTCTTGGGTCTGTTCCCTCTCCCACTGTCTGTCAGATTTGTTTTTCTGTAGGTCATTCCGCTATGCATTGTCCCTCTCGATTTTCTTCTTCATCCACACCGGCCTTACTGACTCCTAGTGGCGATGCTAATCATGTTTTATGGTACCCTGATTCTGGGGCTTCAGCTCATGTGACCCCGAATGAAGGTATGTTAGTTAATAAATTCCCATATAATGGCCCCATTTCAGTTAGTGTTGCTAATGGTTCTAATCTCTCTGTGGCTAATATTGGTGATATTACTTTAAATACTATCATTCGTCCCCTTGTGCTAAAATCTGTTTATCATGTGCCTCATCTCAAATTTAATTTACTTTCTATCCAAAAATTGTGTGCGGATAACAACTGTGTTGCTATTTTTGATAAAAATTCTTTTTTTGTAAAGGACAAAGTTTCGGGGGCGGTCCTTCTTCAAGCAACTAGCGACGGTCATCTATATCCTCTTACCTTGGCCCAGTCACCTATTCTAGCTTTATCGTCAGTCACTACATCTGGTCTGGTCTGGCATCGTAGATTAGGACATTGTGGCGAACATGTTTTACGCCTTCTTAGTAAACACAAACATATTTGTAGTAGTTCAACTTTTTCCCATGATTGTATTTCTTGCCGGTTAGGCAAATCACAACGATTACCATTTATGGATGCTAGTCATACTACTTCTATGCCTCTTCAATTAATTCATTCTGATGTTTGGCAGTCTCCTGTTTTATCCAATTCGGGTTTTAAATATTATGTTTGCTTTATTGATGATTTTTCTAGGTTTACTTGGTTGTATCCTATGCGTAAAAAGAATGAAGTTTTTCATCATTTTAAAAATTTTAAAGCCTTGGTTGAGAATCTTTTTAATTCTAAAATTAAAATTTTTCAAAGTGATGGAGGGGGTGAATTTGTTAATTTTAGTATGCAACATTTTTTTGAAGAACATGGCATTTATTTTCAAAAATCTTGCCCTAAGACCCCACAACAAAATGGGGTAGCAGAACGCAAACACCGTCATCTTCTCGAACTCACTAGGACTATGCTTCTTGATGCCTCTATTCCTAGTAGTTTTTGGGTTGATGCTATTTTTACGGCTGCATACATTATTAATCGTTTACCTTCTCCTGTCCTCTTTGGCTTATCTCCCTTTGAAAAACTTTTTCAGCAAGTTCCTGATTATTCTTTTCTACGTGTGTTTGGGTGTGCTTGTTTTCCCAATATCTCTGCTTCTTCCTCAAATAAACTTTCTCCTCGTTCTGTTTTGTGTGTTTTTCTTGGCTATGCCTCCGGTTATAAGGGTTATCGTTGTCTTGAGCGTAAATCTGGCAGAATATATATTAGTCGTCATGTTCGTTTCCATGAAAAATCCTTTCCCTTTCCCACTCTCTGTCCTTCCCCTCTGCCTGAAAAATCCTCCCTTACCGACCCATCCACCCTTCCCACCAACTGGCCTCTATCCACGTTGGATCACCAGACCTCATCATCTTTTTCTCCAGCTTCAAACCATATGTCTGAATCATCCCACTCTTCTCTCAATAGCACCAGTTCTACATTTATTGCTACTATGTTGCCCCAACAACTTTATACTCCACCTTCACCTCCCAGGAGCCCCACGCCTTTTATTCCACCTTCCCCTCCCAAGAGTCCTACTAGTAGTCCACTCCATGCAACCGAAACTAGCTACACCTACTGACAGTCCACTCCATAGAACCGAAACTAACACACTAAATCCACCCTCTGCTACAGTAACCTCGACCCAGCCACTCACTCAACCTACTTCCTATGCCCCGTCCTCCACCTTAGGTCCGTCGCTTAGTGTTCATCCCATGCAAACAAGGTCCAAGTCCGGAATTTTTAAACCAAAATCAATTTTTAGTTTAAACACAGTTGTTACTTCTGCTGATCCCACATGTTTTACTGAGGCTAATAAACATATTAAATGGCGTGAGGCTATGGCTGAGGAATTTAATGCTCTTATCTCCAATAATACTTGGGAATTAGTTCCATTTGATGCTACTAAAAATGTGGTTGGTTCTAAGTGGATTTACAAGAATCACTAATTAGAGCTATTAGAGCTCCCCCTTTTATGCCTTCTACCTCAAGACTTCAGCAAAATACATGGGAGAGAGAGATGGTGTGAATGGTAGATACTAGATATGGCTTAAGGGTAAATGGTAGTGTGGTAAATGCACGATAAAAATATGACATACGATAGTATATAGAAAGGTGAAGTTAAATATGGGACTTCCTAAAATGGAAAATGAGAACTTAATTACGGTATGAATGTAGTATAAAATAAAGCTGGCCATGCTAAGATATGAGTTTATCTGTCTAGAGACTTTAGAGGATATTTTATAAACTCGAGTATCATGAGAGAGCAAACGGAACACCAATATAACATGGGTAGTTCTACACACAGACACAAATATGATATTTGCAGTCTCTCAATTATTTTTAATGAATAAAGTTATTTTAAATGTCTAATTTACCATGCAAATATATCACAATTTATCGACCAATGCTTCTGATGGCTTCTCTGACACGAGATTAGTTAAGAACTGAGGGAGAGTCAAAAAATTCTAAGTATAGATCGAGTAAGATGTTTGCAGAGTAACAATAAGCTTGAGAATCCGGAAAGCAATCCCTTTCCACAAATTGGAAGATGATATTTATAGTGCACAAGGAAATATTTGGGGTACAAGTAAAAATAACTGCCTCATTGATCTAATGACACATGTTAAGTCTAATTGGTAAGAGAATAATCTATATAGTTGACTGATTGGTAATGGTGTACCAAATTTTGTCCTTGCATACTGGGATGCATGGATAAGCCACACATGTAATCTAACGACTTGCAAGTGTCATTGGAAATAGGTAACATCAACCCTGGGGCAGCTGTTGCGTAGTGACGTAATCTCAAGTGTTTGTGATATCCAAGTATTGAAATGTCCAAGTCCACAATCCATGTATGTTAGCTAAGGAGTATGTAACCTTAGCTTGACTCATAATGTGAAACAGTAATGCATTTGTTGATCTTTTAAGCTCGTAGTACGATACTTTGGCTACCAGCGCAGCCGTAGTGCTGGGAGTGTCGCCAACCTCGGCGAGGGTCGATCTCGGCCTTGTTGCGTCAATAAGCCAATTCAATCTCAATCATATCCCATAATCTTCCCCCGCTAAGTGCCCGCCCGATATCCAACGGGTCAGCACACGATCGCAAGGTTGCTCTGATACCACCTGTAACACTCCGGCCCCCACAGAATCCGAGGTAGTTACTCCACACACCATCCAAACCTCTAGTACTGTCCTCACAAACCGCCACTAGCCTTTTCCGCGCACTTTGTCCTCACTCATGCGCGCCCTGAGAAACTTCACAGGGGGTCACCCATCCCAAGACTACTCCCGTGCAAGCACACATAACTTTGGAGTTCTTAGGTGATGAGCTCCCTTAAAAGAAGATGCATCTTGTTGGTATGAGTAGTACTATTAATCCATTTATATTAAATCTCAAGTATTACAAGTTCGGCCTCGATCGGCCTTGGTCGGAGTTGCCTTTGTATATTCTGGAGATCCTTTATAGTAAATGCTAATGCCCCTGGAGTGTATGACAACATACTCCATCAGCTTCATTACACATCATTGCTGTCATCAACACTTATGTATAATATTCATTCTTGTTTTCGTCGTGGTTATAAATTAAGAGAACTTACATGCAAAGATTGAAAAATAACACCATATTTTATAGAAGAGACTTGAACATGCAAAACTTTCAAAACTCGCCGATGATTTTTTTTTAGGAAAGATTGCTATTACAGTATTATTACAAACACATAATGAAAGACTAAATGCAATAAGAAGATTAATTTATTTATGCAGTCATTAATCTAATGAGAAAATAAAGCTATTGATAAGACAAATTCACGCATTTCGATTGAGAGTACCATATTGGAAGGGGTATAGCTGTTATCCGGTAAAAAACCGCATTGGGAAAAGTTTAATCTTTTTTTTTTTTTTACTTTTCTTTGGTTTGAGATATCTGCAAATGTCTAATGTCTAGTGGAGCAAAGAGAAGACGAGCAAGTCTGGAAGGGATGGGAGAAACAAGAGCAATGTCGATATAATAGTATAAGAGTGGCAATGACTGTGAGAATGATGAACAAGCTTGGTCTAAGTCCAGTGGGGATTGGAGGAACTGAGGAAGACGGAAGTATGATTAAGATTGTCTAGAACTCTAAATGGGAGAATTGCATTTATTCAGGGTTAAAATAGATATTTAAAAGTTATGGAGTATTTTTTTTATTTGTACTTGTGACTAGTCATTTGGTGGCTCCAAATAGAACTGCTCATGCCATGTGCAACAGGTGTAACTGGAAAGGACCCCCATTTTCAAAAACACCTGAATTTGTATTAGCATAGTATATTATACGGAGTAATAAGCTCATTACAAAAGAAAATCCAGCATTATTAGAAAAAAAAATGTTGTCGTCTCACTCCTTTTATGCCTGATTATATGACAATGAGTTATCCAAAGCATATTAGGACCTCCTGATTTATTATGCATATGTCCCTCTATATGTGGAGCCCGAACCTGGTTTAGGATGTCCTTGATCGTGCGGTGCTTTGAATTTGAGCTCTAATAATGTTGTTGGAGGTATTGGTCCTACCACAGCCTTCCGTCCACTTATTATGTTAAGGAATACACCTTGAGTTGAGCCATACTCACATTATCTTTTGTTTCTGCTCCTTAGCTACCTTATCTATCCGTTGCATTGCAAATTTGTCAGCTTGGCCCCTTGGTCCTTTGTCCTTGTTTTTATCTTAAGCTTCCAATGAGTTGTTTTGAATGAGAAGACATCTTTTGACTTCTTATTATTGAGACCTTCTTTTGTGAGACAATGTGTTGTGTGTAGAGTGAATGTGAGGTGTGTATGGCGTGAAATAGTGAACACATAGCACAAACCAAAGTTTCCTTCCTCCTTGAGTTTCCTTTGTGTGAGAACTTAAAGGTGAGTAGTGAAAAGAGTAGAGGAGAAATAATAATCTGTATATTCTGATGTACACTTACGTGTACATATATAATGCATTATTACATAAGATAACATCTACTAACTGAAATGCCCTATACAAATGGATAAACACAATCTAATCTAACTGATATACATACGTACGTATCTTAATGTGTACAATTAAATAATAACAATAGGCACGTAAATTATGTTCCAATACGCCCCCACAAGATATGGGTTCTGTTGGAAACTCCCAGCTTGGATCGAAATGTTTCAAACACGCCCTTTCCAAGTGGTTTCGTAAGAATGTCAGCAATTTGAATTTTATTTTGAGATGTGCTGAACCCGTAGTTGACCACACTCTGACACTCAACAAGCTCATGAACAAAAAAAATAATCCATGGCAAGGTGCTTCATGCGGGAATGAAAAACAGGGTTGACACACACATACGTGCCCCCTTGATTATCACAAAACCAATGAGGAGTAGACTGCAGCGGCATGCCAAGATCGGCCAGTAGGTGACGTAACCAAATAACTTCAGCACTAGCATGCACAACTGCACAATATTCCGCTTTGGTGGAGCAGCGAGAGAGAGTATTTTGTTTTGCTGATTTCCAAGATACAATATTAGACCCCAGATAGACACCATATGCCGTGGTGGA